TGGAGGGGATAATAATCAATGTAATGAAACAAGCTATATGGTTGAATGTGAATCCGATGATGTGCCCTGTAAACTTTCACTCAATCCAAAATAAAAACATTTAATAATAATAATTTTTAAAAAAACTGTCTCTGTGGGATCAAAGTGACAACAGTAACTCAAGAGTTTTGCAGACAACATGTTTATGTGAAGGAGAGAGGAACAATTTGTGTAAGTTTGAGATGGTGTGCGTAAGTAACAATGTCTCGTCTCTCTTTCTCTAAGTGAGCCAAGACCTATCTGCTACCTGACAGTTTCCATAGCTCGCTAAGGAACAAGATGGCCTTGAGGGAGGAGAGCTCAAATTGCTAGTGAAAATTAAGCAGCTATGGTTTTTAGGTGGCTTCCTGCCTCCCCATAATCACTCCTTTGTGGTCTGGCCGCACTGTAAAAGCCTCGTGTATGTTTGTACTACCCTCAAACCTTTTGGTCAATGGGTCTGTCTGACCTCAAATGATAAGTCCTATAGACAGCCTAGGGACATTTCGTGCCTGGCATAGTCTGTCAGACCCTTCCTAACAATTCTTAAAACACATATCCAACCAGTAGCTGTGCAGTCTGGAAGTACCATCAGAATGAGAAAACAAAGTCCAGGTTTCAATGCTTTCTATGCTATTCCAACATCCCACCCATTAATAACTGTTTTTGTTCAAATGACCCAAAAGTCAGCTATTAGTGATCGTAACAATTAAGAAACAAAAAGAAATGAAAACACATTTATTCAAGCTATCGAATCTATACTACCATCGGCAGTAGGTGCCTTATCCACCTCACTGGCATTGGGGCTTAAAGAAGAAAACACAAACCAACAGCACTTTCAGGGAAGGAAGAGGCTCCCAACAGCCCTCACTCTCCATACCTGAATGCACACGCCTGGAAAGGTAACACCTTGCCCTCCCTTCCTCCGACTACCCATCCCTCAGCTCATGTGTCAAGTCCATTTCCTCCAGGATACTGCATCCAAAGCACTTCAGTCTGATGGTCTATTTAGGTTCAGATACTAATAAATCATCTTACTCCCCCACCTTCTCGGACCCTCTTCTCTCATATGTGAGGATTAGCATCCTAAGGTAGGGGCCACCGTGAAGGCCTATCACTGACTCAACTAGATTTTCAATAAATACCCGTGAGCTGGTAGGACCCAACCTGCTCTTCTTTGGCAAAAAGCCCATCAGTAAATATACAAGTTAAGTAGACGTCTCTCCCCATAATACATCAGCCACAAATGATGGGGATGTACTGAGCCATTCAGAATATTGGGAAACTGCAATTAACCTCACCACAACAGGAAACTGGCTAAATGATAGCAAAAACCTTTCTGAACCACTACACACACAGCCGTTTAATCCCATGCTCTCCAAAGTCAATGTAAAGACTTGGAAATGATTATGGAAAAGTACTGCATGAACAAGCAAATGACAAATTTATATACACATATAGGCAATAATAAGGAGCCTGGGCGATGCTGTAGTTAAAACTTTGGCTTGCTAACCGAAAGGTCAGTGAGTCAAACCCACCAGACTG